TAATAAAAATGGCTCTCTTTCTCCATATTTCAATAAATTTTTTTCATGCGATCAATTAAAAAAGAAAAAAATTGCTTTTCATTTTTCAAAAATTCATTTATTTACGATGAATTTAATTGGCATCGAATCGAGAGGGTTGGGAACATTTTATCTTTGTCGTCAATGGAGCCAACCAAATTAGCAATGGTGCGAATTGTTAAAAGGAGAAAGAAAAAAGAAAAAAGGTTTGTTCCCTTCTTTACGAGACAATAGCCAAGTAGTACTTTACTTCGTCTATGCCTTGGCATCATGCATTTGGTTACTCCTCCATGATCCGAAATGCCCTTAAAATCCAACGGGGTAAATCCACTTGTATTTCCATCCTCAAGATATTCTTTAGTAGTTAGTGGAACTACACAAATGTTTGATTAGAATAAGCTTTCCCCTATCTCATCTGAAATATTATTGAGAATTGAAGGGATAATTTTTAGAAATCTGCCTTGTTTAAGACTTTCTACCACATTGGAATATTTAAATGACTGATTTTTCATCAATTAAGCCACAATGATTCGCAAAAATCAGTGGAAAGAGGAAAAATTTCTATCTTTAGGAAGATGTCTTGAAGATTCTTCCTCTATCGTATTTTTTTGCTCGCATCCAATTTTCTATAAAATTTTCTTTAATTTGACCTATTTCTGAGTCATTATTTTGAGTTAATTCGTCTGTGTTGCTTTATTTTTTTGATAACTATTCGTTTTTTCTCTTTGCACACTTTTGGTGAGATAATGCGATAAAGCAATGTTTCTTATCAAGATAAGTTGAATGGCTTAGTGGGTTGTTTCGAAGCGCCAATGCTGCTATTCTATTCTCAGCAGGATTAAATTTCTCTTTCAAAACCGAATTGTGCTGGTGACCTGAATTACTATTTCCAAATACTTTGGCAAAATATGCCTCGTCCGATAAACCACCGGAATGAACAACAAGAAAGGGTGAGCAGTGGTAAAAAAAAAATTAAAAAAACAGAATATATAGTGATCGTTTTATCCAGAGGACCTCTTTAATGTGTATTATTTCTTATGAAATTCATAGTTTCCATTTATTTGCACATGTGATCGGAGATATCACCCGGGATATACAAGAAGCCCAGGCGTTTGCCATTATCGGCATGACAGGTTCTCGGCCTGCCAAAGGTAGGAGAGCACGAACCAACGACACTCGACATTGGTCAATCTTCATTGCGTATAATTTTCAGCGTTTTTAATTTATCTTTAACTTCCATTTCAGTATTTGCTTGATTGATGTTTTTTCAAAGAGAAATTTAGCTAACAATGAGAAAAGTCTTAATGAAATTTCATTGATTAAACAGGTCATTTATCATTTGCCTTCTTTTAATTTTGCCAATTTGAGCAAAAAAGCCAAAAATTCGATTTTTTTATAAAATTTATAAACATTTCTATAATTATTGTTTCGGTTCAAATTTTTTTATTGCTTTAATTCTAAAACCTTATTCTCACCTCACTTAAAATTTGTTATTAATTTATACATTCTTGTTCTCTAGTAGTTCGTACCGGATTTGGTTCTCTAAATTGGCTGCTAAGACATATCTAAGCCTCCCAATCCGATGTTAGTCCTGAAAGTGATTGAGACCACTTCTTTTTCCATCGTCTAAACTCATATATCGGGCTGCCTATGCATGCAAAATGCAAAATATCCTCTGAGTGTCCGCATAGGTCCAGATCTTAATTGTCTCTCGCTTTTTACGCCATCCATCAAAGGGCTAAGAACCGAGATGTGCATAAATTCCTCTGGTGAGCGATGAAGAACATGACAAACCGGAGCAATACTGTGTGATGATATTCTTAGTGCAAATGGTATTGGAGCTAAAGTGAATGCAATCGTGTGAGACTTCCTACACTTGGTGGGTGCATTTTCCTTAGGTTAAGAATGGCCAATGATCAGATTCTCTTCTATTATCTTCTATTTTTATTGGCTAAATCTCGCATTCGTATAGCAGAGTTGTGTTTTATGGTTATGTGTATTATCTGTATACTTCTGTTTTGTGATTTTCTGATTTAGCGGCGATTCCAGAGAGCTTTCGTCTGACACCTCGGATGCAGCCGCCCAAACTGGGATTTCATCTCTCGCTTGTCCATAAGGTTCGAGACTGGATCTAAGATATTTAAAGCCTGGCACTTCTTCGACTGTCAACGAATTAATATGAACTATAGTCTTATTATTTGCTAGTATTACATTGATTTGAAGGCTAATTTCGATCTTTGTATTTGAGACCACTGTACCATGATTTGGACTGAATTGTATACCTTATGAGTGCCAGCAAGCAGTGTCCACTCAATCTACCGTACGGTTGAAAATTCAAAAGGAAAAATGAATGCAACTTTGACGCAAGTCTTTCAAAAGATTGTGCAAATTTTCCATAAACGTACCAAAGCTGACATATGCCAATAAGATATTGTGACAAGTCTAATTAAAAATAGGTAAATTTATATTAACATATTTAAATTCATTTTTCAAGCATTGTACGTCTCTGCCAAACCTTTCATCAAAAAGCACTGACCCATCTGTATTTTATTTAAGTGATTCTCTGGCGAAAGTGTTTTGTTTCAATAACCAGTGGAGCGAGCTTAACCAGAAATAGCGAATTAACCACTAATTAATTCGCTTAGCAACTAATTTTCTGCAAAATTTTTGCAAATTTAAAATTCCTTTATAAGTTTATGAGAAATAAAAATTTCGGTTTATTTCGACCATTTTAAAATTCCCAGATTTCTTAAAAAATTTCTTAACTTTCATTCCAATTTTTCGCCAGGAAAGCGGTATACGGCATCAAATAAAAGATTTCTAAAATTCGCATCTGAGCTTTATCATTCCAGTTGAATATTCGCAAAGTGATTGGCTTTGGCTAATGTAATTATTCTGAAGCTTGTTTGGTCCAACTCTTATCAAGCTTACTTTAAGTTCCTATTTGCCATCTATTATTCAAGGAGGATTCATGTGAAGCAAATAATTTAATTTAGACTCAAATTGGATTGTGAGTGAAATCTGTATGAAATATATATCATTTTATTAGTGCCCATATTTATTCTCTTATTTCCTTCCATTCATATTTTGAAACATTAAATCAGCAATTTCTTTTGGAACCTCTTGGAACTTCTTGGCTAATGGATGAACTTATATTTTCAAGGATAAAGGATTCATTTATTTAATTCCTAACTAATATGGGAAAATATTGATTACTAAAAATGTATCCATTTTGCACCATTTTCTTTTTTTATGGTTTTAATATGTTATCGTTTCCAAATTCCAATCGACAAAAGAAATTAAACAAAGGTTCATAATTTAATTCATAATTTATGTCACCAAATCTGGGAATTTTCACCAAAAATTAAGGAAACGATAATATTATTCACCAAAAATTAAGGAAACGTTCTCAGTTATACCTGAGGAAAAGAGATGACATGTGGCTTTCGATTAAGGTTCGATTCCTATCCTATTTTCCGTTATGGGAGTAAACCTGTTACTAAAACTAAAATCAAGGATTCGGCTACATCCATCTTTAAATGAATGATTCTCTGGTGAAAATAGTCAAGTGAATAAGCCAAAGCAGAAGTAATGAGTTCTATTGGACAAATTACATTTGGGTAAATTCGCTTCTCTTTAAGGGGTTGAAGAAATGCTTTTCATCTTAGGAAGGAAGAGAAATAAATCATTGAACATTTCTGAACAACCTTCTCCCTTTCCAGTCGGCTTTTATTATTCCACAATGTATAATTAAATCACAATCATCAAGGTCATTATTACTGACGATTGACTCTGATCGACCACTGGTCATTCTCACTCATTTCTCTTGTTATTTGTTTATACAATTGATTTGTTCGTTTCTGCTACGAATTTGTCCATTATTATTTTATATATATATATATATATTTATATTTCTCATTGCCCAAAATAGCCATTCGTGCTATCAGTCCCTTTAATTATTGAAAATTCCATTTACTATTTATCATTTATCATATATATTTATTAGGTTACTAAATTTATTTCTTATTTCCCAACATTTCAGTCAATTTAGTTTAACTTATGGTTGTTTCGTTTTGATTATTAATAGAACGAGACGTTTTCGTTAGAGAGATTGGAGAAAGAAATGCAGAATCGAGATAAATACTCGATTCCATCCAAGTTCCATTTCTAATGATTGTTTTACTCATGTAAATTTATAGGGATTGAACCCACAATGCTTGATTCCAGCCAAGACAACCTAACGTTCGACTGTCTTGACCACTAAGTTTTTCATTTATTATCATTCATTAAAGTTGAATTTTAACTTTTCATGCAATTATTTAATTTTAGCTAAGAAAATATTTATAAAATTATTCATTTAACATGTATAGTTTTAAGTTGACAAGATTGCAATTAAATAGGCCATAATCCGAAATGTTACGAAAATACATATATTATGTCAATAATTGGCCAATATAATATTAAACGATAAAAGCAAATTCATTATTACGGCGGATCCTATAGTCCACTGATATTAAGTTGGTAAAAGCGAGTTTAATGAAGCCAGATAAGTTGGTAAACAATCTGTTTCGTAAACGTGCATGGGTCTGAATTGTCTCTTGTCCACTGCCTCGACAAAAATCGAGCTGCCATAGGTGCGATTTCTCCTAATGCAAATGTATATGTATTAAAATATAAACATACTGAGTTAACCATATCTTCGAAATACAAATTTCTACAATGCGATTATGAGCCATTATAAAAAAATTTGTAATTTTTATTTATTTAATTTATTTATTGAAAAAATTTGTAATTTTTATTTATTTATTAAAATTTGTCATTTGTTATTGTAAATGTAATTTGTATTTTTTCACCAATTCATGTTTTTTGCCTTCTTTTTCGCTATTAAATATATTTTATATTAAATATATTTTTTGTGATAGCCTTTAGCGAAAATTTTAATATTTCAACAAAGTTTTCAGAAAATAACCTCAGAAAAATTTATGTCAACTCTGACAATAAATTCAAATTCAGCCGCTCAGTTTTTTACATTTCCTTTTCGACGAAGGAAACAACGATATACGATAAATCCACCGGATGAAAATTACAATGTTATATATTTGGGAAATGTGCTTACTATTATGGCTAAAGGTATTTTCCCGAATTTTCATTTTTATTTTCATTTTTCATTTCTTTTGATCAACTAAGCGATTATCATTTTTCTTATTTTTAACTCATTGATTTGTGCTATTTTAATGATCATTTATAAAAGGATTTCTCAAAGGATTTATTTGCCATAAAAGAATTTCTAATAATAGTTTTATTAGCCTAGAATAATGAAATTCAAGATGCCTTTTCTTGAATGCTATAGATAATTTTGATAAGATCACTGGCAAGATTTAAGTAATGCTATTTATATAAAAAATATATTTAAGTGCAAATACAGGTATATTTCTGGAACTGACATTTTGCAGGTGACGAATGTGTGGAAAAACCTCTCAATCTTATGTGGAAGACATATTGCAGTAAGCAAAGAGTTGATTTATCGATGAAACTTTCCATTACTCGTTCTGGTTTAAAGGTAAAGAAATTTAAATTTTTATTTAAATTCTTTGATATTTTTTCTTTGCCAAACGACTGGAAATTATTTTTTTCTTCTGACATTAAGTCCGTGGAAAACTTAAATCCTTATTGTTATCAAATCTTTTACAAATAATTCTTTAGGCAGAGACAAAACAACTTGGAGTAACTGAATACTGGGCTCACCGAATCACTTACTGCGTTGCTCCATCCGATTATCCACGCTTATTTTGCTGGGTGTATAAACATGAAGGGAAAAGGATGAAACCAGACCTCAGGTGAGCTATGTGCTTCATTTTAATCATTTTATTTGTTTTTGTAGTTTTTGACATTTTAGATCAGGAAATTTTTGATTTTTTTTCAAGAGTTCTTTGAATTCAAAATAGAAATTCATTAAGTTATTTTTTTCGATCTTAATTTATAAAAGTTGAAATGAGTAAAATCTTGGAATTTTTTTCCTAAAAACATTTTCGAAACGCAAAGAAAGCATTATTTTTTTTCAGATGCCATGCAGTTTTGTGTAAAAGGACATCTGATCCATTTATAATGGAACGTCGTCTTATTGAATATTTACAAACTGCTTTACAGGTAAAATTTATGAAATTAATTTTGAACTGTTTATCATAATTATCATTTTAAGCCTTATGGTTTGGCCATTGCCCCTGATTAATGTACCACTTATACTTCTAGCGTATATATCAAAATTTCTAATCGTACTAACAGTTAACTTGAGCTAGGTTAACCAAGAAAATGATAAATGTGAACCACTTATTTCCTTAACCAAAGAACAAAAAAATCTGATAAAATGCCTATTTTTGTCAATTCATTGCCGATTGAGAAAGTGCTTGACTTTAAATACTTTGGATCCACTCTATTCCCAAATGGCCAGGCAATGGGTGAAATTGTAACCTTGGAAAACGACAACTAGTGTTTTTCCGGTTGATAAAATCTCTATGGAACCGTCGCGAAATCACCAAGGCGAAAATCTGTGTCCATATAGCTGCAATTCGCTCGATCTTGCTATATGGTTGCGAGAAATAGCCAATGAAAATGGAATATGTTAAGAAGCTATCACCCCTTGAATACTCATATCTAAAATTCATTTTACGGATCTTTCGAGCGGATAAAATCCCACATTATTGTGCCCATTTTCGTTCGACCTGAATTAATAATGTTATCACAGTGCGTCGTATTAGCTGGTTAGAGCACGTTCTCCGTCGTCTACCACGGGAATTGACGCATATTTCGCTACTTGCCGAACCCTATAATGGTTAGCGTCAAAAGCGAGGAGGGCCAATCAAGACCTGGACTGATAAATCAGGAAAGATCTTGAACATATAGGGGGACCAGCGATATATGGATTTAGACAATGGAAAAAGGAATGGCTTCTATTACTACTAGCGATGGCATTGGACCGAGCAGCTACGAGACGTCTTACCCTTGTAGCCAGCGAAGGCAGTCTAACCAATAATTGAGACCTGTTAGAAGAAGAAGAAATATAGCTTCTTAATTTTAATTTTTAATTTATTTGTAGGAATATCGAAGAGAGAAACTATCGATGCAGAAGGCAAGGATAAATGCTCGATCAATTGGTCAAATAGTGGTTGTGCCAAAAAGGTAAAACTTTTTGGCATTGATTATTCAATATTGTTCAGATCTCTTAGATTTCTTCTTTTTATCTTTCTTAATAGAAGTATTTACAGCATTATTTCTTAAATTATTAAAGTTAACAAGCTTAAAAAAAGAAAATATATCAATATCAAAATAAGAGCATTAACAAATGCACTCAGAAATCGTTATTTTAAATGATGGACTAAAATTTTCCAATCAAGCTCATCGATCATTTATAATTTCTATCCATAGGAAACTTCTCCTGCAAACGGGTATCTTGAATTTTCGGCCACCAGTTAATAGATCAAAAAGTGCACCAAGGCTGGGATCAATAGATGAAGAAGACGAATTGCTGGAGAATGAAGGACTTGCTGAAGAGCAAAGGGTATTTTTTCATCATTATTATTACATTATTACTATTATTGACTGAATTTAATTTCCTCGTAAGCACATTTTTTTAATTTGCAAAATTGCACCAGAAAAATTCGGATATAGCACTTAAAATATTTTAAAGTGATCCATCACACACCTTATAGGTCTCTTGAATTTGATCTTTTTCTTAGACTTTAGTTTTGTAATTTAGTATAAATTTAGAAAAACTCGATTAGACTTTTTGTTCGTACTGACTCACAAAAATTTCTAAAATCATTTCAAAATTCTACAAACAAATGTGTTTTAACTATACTAACTGAAACTTATACAATATATCGGGCATATAAAAGGCTGATAAATGAAAAATATTTCTTTTTCAACTGGAATTTCAACTAGAATTTTTTTGAACTCTCCAGTTGAGATGCTTCATTCTTCTAAGAACATTCAATATTTTTAGTCTGGCTGATTTCACCGCCTATTAGTACATCTTTGCTACAGAATCGTGTGGAGTGAACCCTCGGCACCACTTGACCAAGATTTAATAAAATTTGGACCTATGATGGCATTAGTCGAAAAACACTAAACTGATTTAAATGATAAAAGAAATTTTTTTTATCCATTTATTTATCCATTTAATAGCCATTTAAAAAATTAAAAATATTACATTAAAATGAAAAAAATTTTCACTGCAATCATAAGATCCATTTTTTTAGACTAAACTATTCAATAATTTAGTTTGTCGATAACATTATCAACTTCTGTCGAATTTAAAAGTTATTTTAGTTAATAAATCAGCTATTAATTGAAGCTTTAATTTTCTTCTCCTTCCAGGATGACTTATCGGATATTGAATCACTTTGCTATAGAAAAACTCCAATTGGTGATGAAGATTGCTCGAATAGTGTAGCTAGTACATCATCGTCATGCAGTCCATTCTCTATTCAGGATTCATTAAATTATCGTAAGTTTTTTTCCTCAAATCTAAGATATTACTGTATTCATTATTTTTTATTTCATTATTTTCACAATCGTTTTAAAAAATAAAACGTTAAGACGAAGAAATCGTGGAAGCAAATATTGATGATGGTTCTTCAAATAATATGGTAAAATTGTCAAAAACCGCATGTAAAATTCCATCCACAGAACTTGATGTACTACCAAGGAAGCCGAATACCTACCGGAAAAAAATTCGAAAACGTTTATGTTCCTATCAAGAGGATTCAATAAGTGATGAGTCAGGTTATCACGATGTAAGTAATTCCGATGGCGATCTCAATTTAGACGATATAGAATCAAACGATGATGAATATGAAGAGCAAGTAACCTGTTTGTGAACACATTTTTTGATCTACTTAGCCATTTTTCTATTTTGTGAACCAAACTAAAAATAAAATTTTCACCCCACTATAATTTATTCTGCCAAAATATCTTTTCTTTCGCACCTCTTAACGGTTTACGGATGTATATTGCTCAATTACTCTTTTACTATAACCTCATGTTTCTTTTTCTGACGATACTATTGCTATATATTGCTATACTATTGCTATTGTAACTATATGAGTTAAAAATTTATTTTGAATTTAAAAATTTTGAATCAAATTTAAAAATTTGAATTATTTGTAAATATATTTATAAATATTTTAATATTTTCCGTTTTTTTCAGTGTATTTATAATTTATAGTTTTTGTACATTAAGTGATTATTATATTTGGTGAAATTATGGTCCGAAACTTGGAATTTTATTCTTGGATTATAGGATTGTCAATGATAAAATATTTCAATCATCACAAATAATATGCAAAAATTATTTTTTTATAAAATTATCTTTGATAGTATAGCTAAATGAAATGGCAATGAAATGAACAATGGTTCATTATTAAAAAACAAGTGCTGAGCTCTTGCTTTTGGCTGGAATAAACGCTCATTAAGATCCAAATAGCACTGGCGACCGCATTTTTTCATCGCCAATTGATTGCCTGGCAAAAATTTCTGAACATATTAACAACCGGTCGAGCTAGAGTACTAACCACTTAAATCATTTGTACGTATTCTGAATAACAATTTAGCCGTAGGAAATCAAAAGAGCACAAATATTTTTCCCATTTACTAAATTCGTTATATATTTAATAGATTTTTGAACAAAAATAAGAATAAGAGATGGAAGAATTCAAATGCGAAGCACTTCTTAAACTGGTCTTCACAATTCACCAAAGAAATGTGAATAATAAAAAAAATCTGGTTTTATTGCATTACTATACGAATAATGCAAATTTCTTTTAGTATTTCGTTGGCTAAAAATTTAAAAATAAGCACTGAACAGTTAACAAAATATTGCATGGCAAATATAAAAGATTGCCTAAAAGATTGCCTAAAGATTGCCTAAAATTGTTAGCAATTTTAATAAAAATAAACTTCACTCGCTTTGCTGGAATGAGATTGGTCGGTGAGCCACTATTTGAGAGAAGTAGAAGTGGATCACAAAGAAAAGTCTTTCAGCAAGTGATCAGAAGCGTGATGTTTCTGTAATAGCGTAAATATTTTGATTTGCGCATTTAAAATTTGAATATGAACCGATAATCTAAGCAGTACTCTATTCGCCTCTGCCATTTTAAATTAGAGATTGAGATATTAATGAGATAAATGCTATTAATTAAAATATTATTTTTAAGAAAATTTGTTAAAAATAAAAATTATGAGCTCTCTCATTAAAGAAACTTGAAAATGATAATCAATTTAAATATTGCCATGAAAAATAATATATGTCTGCATAAAAATAATAGAATAAAAAACTGTATTTTATTTTAAAAATATTCTTCTTAAAAAATATTCTAAAAATTCTCACCATAACTGGTTAGGCTACTGGCCACAAGGATAAGATGTTTCTAAGCTGCGCGAACTGATGCCATCATCGACAGTTATAGAAGCCATTTCTTTTTCTATCGTCCACCTTCCTAACCATGTCAGCCCAGGTCTTTATTGCCCCACCTCGCTTTTGACGCCACCCATCATAGAGCTTAGCAAGCAACGAAAGATGAGTCAACTGTTGTGGTGAGCGCCGAAGAACGTGCCCTTACCTGCGAAGGTACTGTTGGTACTGTCGATGCAAATAGTACTCGAACGAAGGTGGGTGCGATCGTATAAATTTTATCCACTCGTTTATCCATTTTATATTAGCCTTTTCCCAACCCGAAATGCCCACAGCACTTTGCTTTCCAGTGAAATTTTTCCAAGCTTTTAAGGAATTCCGGGAAATATAGTAAATGCATATAAATTCACTTTTTAGAATCTTTTAACTTACAAATTAAACGAAGTTAGAAATAGGGAACGAAGTTCACTAACAAAAGAGTACTAAACCAATTAAACCTATAAACCTAGAAAGGTGGTGCTCTCTTAAATAAAATATTACTGCGATTATTGGTCTCAAAGAAATCAAAGAATAAAAATTTAGCTTTATTTTACTCGTATTTTGATAGAAATTTAAGCATTTATTCATTTTTATCAGAATGTTTAAATTTAATGGCATTTTTATTTTGCGGTCGCTTTTTGAATAAATAATATTAAAAACAACTAAATTTTGAGGCTTTGGTTCAAATCCAGCACTAGATTTCGTCAAATGGAATTGTCCCCAAATGAAGAAAAGCAAAAGATATAGGTTGTTTCTCAACTCGTAGTACAGGTGCTGAGGTTCTATTCTGAGCAGGAGTAAATTGTTCCAAAAATATGGATGATGCTGGCGACTCAGCTGTATTTCTATCGCTAAGGGACTCCCTGGCATATTCATTTAGTTTGACAAACCAGCTGAACGAGTCTAAACAGTAATGGTGATTTAAAAAAAAGGACTAAGAAACATGAATCCTAAAATTAAGGAATAACACTCAGTATTTTGAGAAAATAAACACTTAATATTTAATATTTCGAAAAATTTTGATAGACAATCACAAATAAAATAAATAAAAAAAAACTGCTTTTGTCGTTTCTAAATTGATCATTGAGACATAAGACGTAAGAAGAGGAATCCTTTAATGTTCAACTGTTCTTGTTTTTTGTAATACAGGGGAACGCATCCTTTAATTGAAATTTTTTAAATTTTTACAAGCAATTATTGCTCTACTTTTTGCAAGGAAGAGAATAGAAAAAGTAGGATTTTTCGACTGGCGTCCATACTTCTCGCCTCTTACATCTGTGTGAAGCTTAACGATTTTTCGTAAAAAGTGAAAAAATATTAGAAAGGTATAAATCATATAGTTGAGAAGCTTTGGCTAGCTCGTATTGTCGATAGTACCGTTTTCAGACGTCCTTATTCGACTTCAATATAAGGTACAGTATGGAGAATGGTATGTTAATGGTATCTCGAATGAGTGCTGAGGAGCCCGTATTTCCATTATTTTGTCATATTAATAGTGGTCTTAATCTAATAAATTAGTGCAGCCAGTCAAACAAAAAATGATGATTGTTAGCAGAAGAAATGTTTATCATCGTATAGCGATTGTTTTAGCAACTTTTTATATTGCATTTAATTAATTTTGTGATTTCTTCTTGAAAAAATTAAAATTTAGGCGAACCGAACTAATTAAATAGAACAATAATAGCAGAAAAAATATCTAACAAAAAAAATCGCAAAAAACTGAGCTAATAATGGACAAAAAATTAAAATAATGAAGAAAATAATTCCAGTTTAATATAATTTGGCATAATTACCATAGTTTAGGGGAAAAGACACAGTAAAGTACCACAGTTATATATGAATAACGGCAAGTAAAAGGGAAAAAATATGCCTAAATGAGAAATAAATGAAACAATTTCGAATCTATGAAATTATATTTTTTTTAAAATGATATTTACAACAGAAAAAGCCTGATTATGAGTACCAATTAAATATCGAAAATGCAACGAAGAAAAAAACAAGATTTACCAAAAATATTTTTGCATTTCCCAGTAATTTATCCATGCAGTTAACCGTAAGATTAACTAAATGAACCAAATCTGTAATGGATAAACTAATGGGAAGCAATGCAAAAGATCAGACTTTACAAATTATTCTACATTCTGAAATCATACAAAACACATTAAATGACTTTATATATATATATATATATATATATATAAATGACACATGAAATAAACGATTTAAAAAAAAATTGTGCCATATTTGCGCTAAATAGCGGAAAAAAACGCAAAAAATTTTATCCAAAATTAATAAAATAAATTTTGGCATATACAACAGTGCAAATTCATTTGCACTAAATAATTTAGCATTCCAGAATTAGAAATCTGCAAATGCTGTACAATATTTATTTTACATGAAGTGAATACAAATGCTTACAAATAAGTGGAGTTACAGCAATAAAAAAAGAAGTTTTAGGCACTTCAGTGGAAAAAGAAATCTGAGCAAACGAGGAAAATAAACGTTTTTTTAAAAAATTTTTCAGTAATGACCTCATAAAAATAATTCAATTCATTAATTCAATTTTTAATTCAATTTAATTTAAAAATTTAATTTAATTTAAATTTAATAATAAATAAATCTTTTAAAGAAAATAGAAATTAACAAATTTGGCAGAATTTAAAAACCGAAAAAAAATTTCGATAAATTGAAAATAGACAAAAATTAAATTTTTAAAAAAATAAAGATAAAAAAATAAACATCTGAAAAAAATTGGTGAATTATATTGAATAACGAGAAATATCTATAAATAATCACATATTTTTAAAAGAATTTAGAGGACAAATAATAGGTTTTTTTTTATGAACAATTGAAAATAAGCTTTCTAAATTACAAGAGTTTCAAAAAAATTTCGTCGACCACAAGTTTTTAAGGGAAATAAGGGAAGAGAGAATTTCCAATATTACTTCACTTATAATTTCATAATTTGAGTAATATAAATCGTCTAAGGTTAATTTGCAAAATTTTTGGTCGATACCAAACATGAAATTAATAAGGACCTCCAAATAAACCAAATTCAAAGCAAAACTTCATTACGAAACTCCGGTTGGAATCAGCACCCATTTCTTTCTACTGCTACCAGGTTATTTATTTTCTAAAAAAGCAATAACCTGAGCAAGTGAAACCGGAACGAAAGCAAAAAAAAATTTTGTTGATTTGCAAGTTGTGATGCCCAAAATACAAATAATAAATCTTCTCAATGAAATCGCAATTACACATTTCATAAGATTTCGTGATTTGGAACCAAAACATTTAACTAAAAGTTTTCAGCAAAGAAATTGAATATTTGGTAAGGAGAGGTAAAAATTTTGACAAAAATAAAAACAAGATAATTTTTTGAGCTTTCTTGGCTTACATATATTGTTTTGCTACAGCTGAAGGCCTATTATCGTTTAACTGAAGATATTGATCGAAATCACGTGGATTGAGGTCTTGAGCAGTAAGATCCTGCAAAAAATCAAATATTAATTTCATCGCCACAATAACTACTTTAGGCAAATTAATGACATTTGCTTGTCAGTTTTTCAACTGCTACAACAATATTCAGTTATATATTTTCCTTAGCAATTGCTATTTAAAACAATCAAAAACAATATTGAAAAAATTCCGTGAAAAATCAGCTGAAAAATTGACCCGAACAAGATTTGGAACTATTTGATGAGCTGGTTGCATGCTTCCCATTCCTGCCTGATTCGGCGATACGTAATCAATTTCCATGGGATTTTCTAGA